TAACTGGAAATTTACGGTACCAAAAACCTGAGCTATTCCTGTCTTAGTTCTAAAATCAACTCATGGAGAAAAAAGCAAATACTTGATATATTATCTATTTTTTTCTAAGCAAGTTATTTATTTTGGAAATTATGATGATGAACTGATTTCCTTCACTTCTCAGGCTGAGAAAATATTTCAAAATCAAGATGTTTAAAATGTTACATTGGAAGGTTTTGTTTTAATGATAATTGTTAACTTGATAAACAGTATGTGATAAAAATCTGTCATGTTTCATGACTTGAATAAAACAGTAAATGATTGTATACTGACATTGTTAAGAGTTTTTTCAGGGGCTATTTAATAGAAGTAACATACTTCATATTTCTAATTAGAACAGATTACAAAAGAAGACTTGAGACTGACTGAATAGCACGGACATGGCAGGGTTTCTGTCCTCTTTTGAACATAAGTCACTTCCGTACATAAAAGTGAACTCTTCGCAGCTGAATGATTTGGTTTAGAAAAGTGAAGATTTACGAAAGTCAAAATAAAGCTCTTAAACAATTTTTTAAATACTTCTGAGTAATTTTTTTCTTTAAGGCTTTCTTTCTTACATACTTCCAGCTTCCCTAAAATAGTACTTATATATTCAATTTCAGTGATAAAACATTGGAACTTAGTGTTATGCCAAAAGATGAAGACATTCTCCAAGTGGTAAGTTTTACTTATTTAAATATGAATTGTTCAAAATTCATGAATGTTAATAAAATATTTTTGAGTTGGAGATAGTTGAATACAAAAAAAGGATCACTTAGCAGAATCTGGGATTCTCTACATTTTAGGAAAAAAAGACAAAAAAAAAAAAAAGAAAGAAAAAGACTTAGCAGTGTTTTGCAATTAAGTCACAGAGGAATGTGTTTGAATTCCACAGTGAACTCTTAATGTTTTCATTTAGGATGAGATCCTAAGAGTTTGCCACAGTGTTGCATTCTAGGTAATTCTTTGACCACAAGTCAAAGTTCTGAGTGTATGTACATATCTTCATGCATATGGAGATGTTTTTAAATCTGAGGACAGAAATTCTGTGAAATTCATTCCCCAAATTATCCACCAAATGCTACTGTTTGTAAATTACCTAGCCAAGTGGTTTTGTTAACACTGTCATCATTTCAATAAAAGTAATGTTCATATGGAATAGAGTCTATACCAGGAGGGAAAAATACACTAGGGTCTTATAGAGGAAATAAAACTATCCAGTTGAAAGCTGTAGCATTTAGTCTAACATATTTTTCTGATTTTTAAAAAGAAATAAGTTTTATGGACTGCACAACTCCTTTCAGCTTGAGTATTGCTCATAGTGAAAGATGATAAAAATAGAAATTTCGTTCAAGAAAATAATACTTTCTCTTCAGTTGACTCTGCAGTTCAGTAGAATAGAATGAAATGAACAAAACCCTGTAAAGAACAAACCAACATCCAACAGACCTAGGACATGGCATTGACCCTGAAGCATATTTTTAAAAAATTCTTTTTAGTGAATAGTTGGTTTCTTTCTTATTACTTATAGCTGAATTCAAGAAAAAACAGGTAGCTTTTGGAATCTTTGTGGTGTCGATAGAAATGACATCGTAATATTTTTCATTTCTCCAGCATTAGTATGAACTTAGCCCAACAATAATCTTCTGAAATTTTCCTAAATAATCTTCTGAAATTTTTTTTGTATATAAAAATATCACAAAAATAGATCCTAATGATTTATCTTATTCACTGCCCTGTAAAAAAAATAACTAAAATCCATGGAGATTCCTCAGTGTATTCAAGGTGTATTGATTTTGTTTAGGAGTTTCATGGTACTGTTAACAGATTACTCTTCTTAAGTACACAGTTCCTTTGAGGTGGAAGACTCAATGAAGAAGGTGCAGCTATCTGCAGTAGTTTCCCTGCACATGGAGAGTTTGTTGCAGAGTCTCTACTGTGCTAATTCAGCATAGTGATAGAGTAGCACACAGCCACTGAAATCAATGGTCAGGAAAGTCACTAAACAAATAAATAGGGACCTCTCCTCCAGCGCTCTTCTTATAGAAAGTCCTAGATGATGTACCAGTGGTCATGAAGGCTTCACCTTGGTTCCTCTTCACAGTGTGAAGTCTTGGAGACAGAATTGACTTCCCAAACAGAATTTCTCATCTTCAGTAGACTGTTTCCTTGCTAAGGTGGAAGCAAGGAAAATTGGAGGCCATTCAGAGCAGTGCTCATTTCACAGAATGGCTGGTGTACTAAATTTCAAAGGAAAGAATTAAGTGCATCCTTGCCATTGTAGACTACTGCGTGGTTGATGAAGAGCAGCAAACCGCTTAATGCAGAGGAAGGGATAATTTTCTAAGGCTGTGACCACTGGGGATTTAGGTTAATTAGTCTGTCTTCTTATATTTTATTTAACATCAGTACATTTAAAATAAAGGTAAAATACAAAGCATTGCAAATAGGGAAAAATGAGCTCAGTAGATGACATGAACATACAGATTTTCAAGGCTTATCAGTAAAGGGTTCTTAAAAATCATTTTAAAAATATGTTATCTGAATGATTTTACCATAATTAATTTAAAAGCACATGCTCTTAATGATAAGAGAAAAACCCCTTTCAAATTCAGTCATAGTTCATATTTGAAATCACATGAAGAAATAAAAAAATATACATATGTGAGACCAGCAGTTAGCATATTGGCTATGTCGCTGAACTCCCATGTAGTTGACTGCAGTTCGCATCCCGTACCCGGTGGCTTAAACTCACGCCGGGCGCATGTGCATGCGTGCCCAAGATCCTGAGAGGAGAATGGAGGAGAAGGGATTGCG